GAAGAGAAAGCTGCAGAGAGCGCGGGGCAAAATGATTGTCGAGTCGAATTTTTAATTTATACGTTAATTTGATATGCGTTAGTGATTTGTTACGATGCCGCGCGTGTGTGTCGTGCAACCGTGGCGTTTCGGGCATTGAAAAGCCGGGAATGTAATATACCATCCATATATGGTGGCTTAGAAACCGCGCAGCGCGGCGGTTTGTGTTGCAACTCCGCAACTTACACCGCGGAGAGCTTCCGATGCTATCTCACTTTCACATTCGCCGTTGACAGTCAAGTAATTTCCCCCAATTACACTCGACTAGAAGTTTTCCCTCGATCGGGGATAATTATTGTCGAATAAACGGCCTTATAACTGCATGGCATGCGCGCAATTTCAAATCCCATTACGGATTATATAACGGTATATAAAAGAGGAGCCGCGCGCAACCGCGAGTGCGCGTGCAACGTGTTTCTATATATACGCTGTATACGTTGGAAAGACGGACGAGTGGTGTATCTCTTCGTATTGCGTCTGTACAGGCAAAGATATGGAATGATGTCAAAGGATCGGAACGGCAGAATGCCCCGGCGAGTTCGAGAAAGGAAAAAATGCGCGACTCAGTATTCATGAAAAAACATCGCGTGGCGTGGAGACCAGCCGCACGCGCGGCAATCGTAGAAAGCCGGTTTTAATTAGTCGCATAGCGATTCCCCATTGTCCAATGCATTTTCTTGAGGAGGAGAGTCTTTACATTACAAAAGAATAATAATTTTCATTATACTTTGTTTCTCCATTATTATTACTAATTTTAATTGTTGAGCAGTTTTCACGCTTGAAATCAAGAGTACTTCAACAACGAAATCTTGTGTACAGATTTCTCGAAATTGAATTTGATGTGTTTCGGAATAAAATGTGCGAGAAAAAAAATAGTAGGTATTCTTATCTCGAAAAGTATATAATCGCCAAGCAGGATCATCTAACTAACGATTCCCTGACCGTCAAGTAGCGCAACCATTCTAATCTTCTGCATCTCTCTTTCCGTGGAGAGACGAGAGTTTTCGCAAGAGTTTTCGGGGAGGAAAAAAAAAGAAAGAAGAACGCAGAAGATGCTTGGATCTCTTTCCGAGCGATTCCGAGTTCAAGCAACTCGTATTTACCAGGCGACGGCAGCCTGCTCTCCTCACGCCAACACGGACACCGGAAACGATTTGAATTGCAAATGCGAAACGGTGCTCATTACTTCTTTCTGCCACGTTGGCCCAAATCTCCGTAGCGCCCTTCGTTCTTCCCTGATCGTCAGTTCGCCCTTAAAGCAAAAAGTGCAGAATCTTTTGTTTTTAAATACCCCAAACTGAATTTCTCCGCGCGTATTTCGTGATGTTTTCTTTTTGAAGCCTGTTAGGAAAGTCTTGACTTGCAGCTATAGAAAAGCCTGTTTCGTAACATATTTTTCCGGTCTTATGCACGCTGTTAATTGCAAGGTAAACGTTTCTATTCCGTATATATTAAACATATAATTTGACATGTATATGACATAAATTTAATTGAGACCTGTCGGATAAAGTCTGTTAGTTTATTATACGTTATTCTCGAACACACGCGCGGATTATTTTTTATCCAGTTAAGATAACAATTTTCCAAGATAAAATAATCTCATATATTGTTTATTGTACATTTAAGCAACAATTATTGTAATTTCGGAAGAAAATACCTTTATTATTATTATTATTGTTATTATATCTTTATTTAAGTTAATTTTTGTTCTGCGATTTGAACACTTTTTAAATTTTTGTAAAGGAAAATATTAATTATCTTTGTGAAAGGATTTTGCGTATAATTAAGATAAAAATATTGATGCAAAGTGAAGAAGCTTTGCGGATAAAGGTTCAATATAATCGTGCCGTGTCTTTGCCGAGCCGGCTGTCCAATCAAATATCCCGAAGCCAGCAAACACCTTTCATTAAAGTAATAGGCATCTCGTGTTGCAAGCGCGCAAAGTGGAGGACAACAATTTCAATTTCACTGCCTCGCGCGCATTCCGCGCGTTCACCACGTGACATCTCGGCGGCTAGAATTGCGGAACGAAAGAGCAAGTAGATATAGAAAACGTAAAAGCGGAAAGTGTTTTTCCGCGCGCGCATTCACCGTCTCTCGACCGGTCTCTCTAATTCCGGGCGAGGAAGAGGAAGAAAAAAAAAACGGAAACTAATCTCGCGCAGTCCGGATCGCGGAAAATATTTCGTTCTTTGGCGCGAGAAAAATGTCGCTCCGAAGAAAGAACGCGGTGTGAGAAAGTGCCATTTCTCCGAGGACGGATATCAGGTTCGAGTTTCACGACACGATGAATGAAAGTCTTCGAAAACTGAAGCTTTCTTCAACGATCTCCCGAAATAAAGATGCAATTATTTATGTGGGATGGCAAAAAGAAGAAATTATTCGGACGAGATTTTAGTAAAGAAAAACAATGTTAATAATATAAATTTATGAGATAAACTGCAATAAAACTTAGATATAAATTAAATCTGTTTATAATAATATTGTATAAAATAATTGCAATACTGAAATACATATTTGAAGGATTGAGATATTTGAAAAACTAAAGCATTATTTGGACAAGAATTGAAAAACAAATCAAAATATTTATAATATATATTTGTGAGAGAAATTATAATAAAATTTAGATATAAATTATATAAATCTATTTATAATTATATCACGCAGAGAAAGGATTAGCCAATACAGCTAAAATACAGCCGTGGCAGCTAATGTGTATCTTTAAAATAGGGACAACTAATATCGTTACTGCCAAAGCTTTATTAGTTGTTAAAATTTAGGCGATACAGCTAAAAATATTTGCTGCTAGAATTAAATAACATTTAGCTAATTCTATTGAGGAATATCCAGCAAAACTTTAAAATTTTTCAGCAAAATCATTCTTTCCGTATGCCACTTTCTTAGCTACTCTTGTTAAAGTACGCTTTTATTTTAGCTAATAAAATTGTATCTCGCTACAAATATATTTTATCTTTAATAGTTTACTTTTAGCAATGACGGCAAAGTTCGAACTAGCCATCGATATTTAGCCGATAACGCTAAGTCATTTTTTTGCGTGATGTATAAAATAATTACAACTGAAATATTTGAAGGATTGAAAGGAAATATTGAAATATTTAAGGAATTGGATGCATCTTGCACACTTAAGGACTAAGGGCGACTGGATTTTAAGGGCCCCATGGATAATCGGCCGTTTCCGTTAGCGGCAGGTGCATCGACCGTGTGCACAGCCCGTGTGAACTCCGAAAGGCGCGTTTCCGCGGGGACTTCGAAAACTCTCGGTTTTGCTTTTTAATAGACGGGGACGCGGGAAAAACTGAAATCGGTATCGCGGCACGGTATAGGCGTGGGACTGAGAGACGCTGAGGCCGCGGATCTCATTGAGCCGCAAATCACAATAATCCCCCGCGTAATGAGCTATCGCTTCCGACTCTTTCCTCCCTCTTCCGGTTCCGATTTCTATTTCATTGCCGTGCTCGGCGGTGCGCATTGTCGGCGCGTGGAGTCGCAGACTGCATACAGACGCGATACAAAGGATTTCCTTTCATCCATGGAGATCGTTTACTAACACAGACCAGATATTATTCCTCGGGAGAAACACATCTCGGACGATTCGCGCCTACTGCAGATGATTTTTAAATTACTGAAGATAAGACGACTTTTCGCAGGGAGCGTTAAGCTCCGCGGGCATTGAAATTTAAATTTAATATCGAGAGTTAATTACAAAAATGCGCTCCCGATGTTGAATATATATTTTAAGAAGCCCTCTTCGAGAAAGGCGGATAATAACAGGTGTGAAACTGGGCCGACCCAATGTATCTGCAAGTGTTTTCACTTTATCAACATTTTTTTTTTTTTTAATATAATTTTGCTCCGCCGACAAGAAGCAAAAGGACCGCCGTATTTTAGATAAACACTTTCTTTTTTTGCCACTCACGGAG